GTTGGTAAAGCAGTGGCAGGCTTTGAGAGGATCGACTCCAATTTTGAAAAAAATTCTACTGTGGGTAAAATATTATCAAACAGCTTCATATGCTAGTAGAGAAATCTTTTGTAAAAGGAAGAATCAATCAATTTGACAAACTTAATTGTTCTCGTATTTAAGAAATTGCCACAGCCACCCCAACCTTCAGCAACCGCCATCCCAATCAGTCAGCACCATCTACATTGAGGCAAGACCCTCCACCACCAAAAAGATTATGATTCACTGAAGGGTCAAGATGATTGTTATTTTTCAGTAGCAATGTATTTTTAATTAGGGTATGTACATTGGTTTTTTAAGGCATACTATTGCACACTTAAGAGACTATGGGATGGTGTAAACATAACATTTACATGTACTGGGAAACCCAAAAATTTCTATGGTGGGCTTCCTTGCCACATGGGCTTCCTTGCAGTGGTCTGGAACCAAACTTACAATATCTCTGAGGTATGCCTGTATTTGACAAAGAGCTGTACCTAGCCATGTAGACATGAACATGGACTTTACGTCAAATGATTACATATTTGGTGTATATATGGATTTCTAGACCCCTGATAATAACTTCTCCCTTCCTACTCCCTGCACCTTCAGATCTGGGACCCAGAGTCAGGAAGCACACTGGTCTAGTATATGTCAAGAAGAGCAGTTAATTATTTGAAGTAGAATCCACACCCATTTCATACTTTCACTCCTGACAGTGTCATACAGACAATAGGAAATCAATGAAGAGACAGTGAATGAATGTCCATTAAAAAGGGACAATCAATGACTTATTTCTACTTTATGGTATTTTGAAGAGAAAGAAATCATGAAGTAAGGAGACAGAGGAATGCCATTCCAACTAGAAAAGGATAGAGGCAAAGGTAGTAATAAAAGACACATGTATTCCAGAGATCGCTCCATTGCTGGGAAAAACTGCCCAGGTACTTAGGATGGCACACTCTGATATCAACCATATCGAGTGTGGTATTTAATCGTGAAACATTTGCAACATATTTTGTGATAAACATCCTTGAGTTTTTGCAACTTTACTATTTGAGAAAAAGATATAATTTTAAGAATGAATGATGACCAAACTACTTGATAATTATAAACTACAAGGCTATAGTGTCTAGATTCAAACAAGTCCATTCTGTGAATTTTTAGAAGAAAATAACTGAAGACCACAGAGTTAAAAAAAAAAAAAAAAAAGGAAAAGGCAAACAAAGCAAAACTCCTGGATATTATGGGATCAAGTTAATTGCTTTTTTAGATCTTAGATTTCTGTTGTTTTGTGAGCCAAACCCAAGACTTAAACTGTCACATGATTAATGCCAAGAGGCTCATTTTGAAACACTATTAAAATTGTAGTTTTTGCACAGTAGGAAAAGTTTAAATGTTCTAACGAAACCATTTCACTTTTTCATGATCACAGGCCACATCTGAAAATTGGTTTTGCTCCTGTAATGTTAATCGCTACCATCATTGCTCCCCAAACTTGTTGCATTTCATATGGACCAATTAAACATTCAGATACACAAGTTCAGGTAGCATAAACAAAATACTATTCTTTTGTTTAAAAGACTATACTAGTCTTTTAAACACAAAGATCTGTTTTTATTGTTTTTTAAATAGAGGAGTTTCCTGCCAGAATAAATGTTCCTCTAAGAAGAAACTGATACATAAAATGCCATTAATGTCATTCCAAAATATCTCCTGGGCCAAACTTGCAATTTACTGACACAAATGTTTGGCTCCATCTCAGAGAGAAGATGAGAAGTAGTTTTCCTAACTAGTGGGCTGTGTCCACAGCCTACCAGCAGGATAGAGTGGGTTGTGTCATTATTTATCAAACCCTGTCTGTGGAAAGGTGCCTGCTGCCTCTGTCAACTCCAAAGGCATGCTCCAGCAAGCCCTGCCAAGCTGGCTCCCTGACAGTGCCTGTTCATTCTCCCGTCATGGCATGCCACGGCACTTGTACCACTGGGGTTGGACCGCATGGCATTATCAGTGGAAGCCAAAGTCTTTTCTCATTCCTGGTAGTAATGAGATGCACAAAGGAATAGCAAGGAGGAAGGGAGCAAAGAGGCAGGTCTGGGGGGAAGAAAGTTAAGACAAGTTTTGTGCTATTGAGAAAGTCTGAGTTAAGACCTTCCCACCTTGCTTCTCCCCACCCTCATAAATTTTGGTACATGCATTTAAAAAGAAAAAAAAAAAAGAGGATAAGTTTTAAGTTCTAAAATGATTCCTCACTTCAAAAGGCAATATATGGGTATTTCCTATTTATTTGTAGGTAGAAAGGGATGCAGAAGACTTCCAGGGGCTGTCAGGATCACTCTGAGATCTGAGATTGAATGAGAAGGGCTCCTGCCTCTTTTGGAAGGCACTATGTTATCCTGGCAAAAACTTACTAGATTCTAGAAAGCAACTTAGTATTAATGGCCACCTTTCTATTCCTCACTACCCAAATCCCCCACATGGCTATCCAAACAAT